CCTCTATGAGGTGGATTGATTCAGTGACTGGGATAGTTGGGATGGGAGTGTCGGAGACAGTGCGATTGGCACAGGACAGAGCGGAGTTTAGGGCTGTTGTTCATAGAGTCGCTATGAGTTGCAAGGGACTCGACGGCACATAACAACAACAACAAGAACAGCAAAGAGGAAAAGACAAACAAGAACTATTTTTTACAAGAGTGTGTGACTGTGGCAATATAACAATAAAAATAGACTCAAGGAAAAGACATAAAAGCAAATTACCTCACATCTATTAGAAGGGATGAACCACGACACTCTCCGCTGGCAAAAGATATATAAACAGTTTTGTAAGATAAAAATGGGGGTCCTGATCCGTTCATAATATGTTATGAATGTCTGATAATCTTTTTTCTTTTTCTTGCTCTTACCTGGTATTGGTACATCCAAGTCAGAACTTTCTAGTTCTTACTCGGAAAGGCTGCTGGACCTCTTTTGGAAACCATCCCCTTGGCAAGACTAAGAGAGGACACTTGAACTGTTATAACTGTATATCTTCCATTTGCAGTCTTGATAAGAGTTCTCTGTGTGCTTTTATTTCCTTTTTTGTGATGATGTCTGTGATCTTGACTGCTCTTGAGTGTAGGGCTCTCCTCTAAGCTGGTATTCCTGTTTATTCTTTTTGTTAGCTCAGACACAGGACTCCCTGATTTATTCTGTGCCTTGCAATATCCGAATGTAAATAGTCTACTGGATCCAGTAATTCATCCATTCATTCGTCCAACTAACTGTCATACTTATGTGCACATATTCTTTCTGATAGACACTGGGAATAGAAATAATGTTTAAGAGAGTATCCCTGCCTTCATGCTGCTCATGGTCCAAAGGTAAAAATTAGAGTACAAATAGATGTGAACTAAGTTCTATGTTGTTGTTGTTGTTATGTGCTATAGAGTTGCTTGTGACTCATAGCAATCCTATGTACAACAGCTCTGAATCCTGCTCTACTCTGAGCCAAACTTAATGTCTTTGACACACCTTACCCTCATTACCCCAGTCACCAAGTTAATCCATCGCATCGTGGGCCTTCCTCTCCTGTGCTGTCCCTCCACCCTCCCAGGCATGATGTCTCTTTCCAAGGACTGGTCCCTCCTTGTAACATGCCCAAAGTATGTCAGGTGGAGCTTTAGAATCTTTGCCTCCAAGGAATAGCCTGGTTTCACCCTCTCTAGGATGTGAGATGGATTGATTCGGTGACTGGGGTAATCGGGATGGGTGTGTCAGAGGCAGTGCGGTTGGCACAGGATAAAGCAGGGTTTAGAGCTGTGGTCGCTATGAGTCGGAAACGACTTGATGGCACATAACAACAACAACAGGATGAACTTATTTGTTCTCCTAGCAGTCCATGGTATATTCGATACTCTTCTCCAGCACCACAACTCAAAGGCATCAATTCTTCCATTAGCCCTAGTTATTCCACGAGAATTTGGAATTTCCTGCACTACTGTGACAGGTTATATTTTAATATTTAAGTTTTCCCTTCAGAAGAAGAATAATGACTTCCTTCTTACCAACATCACTCGCACACTCTTAGACATGATGGTGACATAATTTTTCAGAATGCTGGTGTGGAACCCAGGTTTCAACAGCTGGCGATGTTGTAGCCACTTGGCACCCTCCAGGGTTATAAGTCCATCACCTTATGAAACGAGAGAGATGGATACTGAGATCACAGGACCAGGAAGTGAGAATTGTGGGTTATTGGGAGGATAGGCAGTATTTCTCTGTATATGTTACTAGTAAGAGACGTAGAATAGGACAGAGCTATGAAACATTGAATGAACTTGAGAAGAGTTAATACTTTAAGAATTAAGTGCAAACCAGAAAATCTGGTTGTTCAGTGGAATTTAGTAAGAGGCTCTAATTTCTTCTGATGGTCAAATTAATCAAATTAATCAAATTAATCAAATTGCTGACTGTCCTCTCTACACCCTGCACTTCCTCTCTGACGTCATGCACATGAAATGGAATGCTGTTGAGGCTTATACCATTTATGTTATCAGTTTGGGTTGAATTATGTAATCTACAGGGTTTTCAATAGCTGATTTTTGAAAATCAATTTGCAGGCATTCCTTTTAGTCTATTTAAGTCTAGAAGCTCTGTTGAAACACAGCATCATAAAACACTCAATCCTTAACTGACAAGATGTGTAGTGGTTAAGCATGAGGTTCATTGGCTGGGAATGAGAGGGTTTTTTTACACAGAAGGTGAGAGTTGTATCAATAATAATTTCACTTCATCAGTCTCTTTCTCAGTAGAATTCAAATTCAGCATGCATTAGGAGTACCTTAGGTATTTGTTGAAGGCAGATTCCTAGGCCTAATGCCTCAACACAATCAGTTCCAAGGACTAGAGGTAGAAGCAAAGACTCTTGGTTTATAAGAAGAGTCTTGTGTGGAAACTACAGAACAGTGTCATTGATTTCACATGCAAGCAAGATTCTACTGAAGATTATCCAAAAACTATTAGAACAGCACATCAGCAGAGAATTGCCGGAAGTCCAGGCTGGGTTTAGAA